AATTGATCTACATTTATTACTATTTATGGAAATTGTTGACTCAGGATAGCCAATCATTTTAACTGTCTCTGCTGAATACCACGAGATATTAACAATTTACGTCTCACGATCATATGAAATTTTCTTTGTAAATCAGCAAAACGTAAATCGTTAATTTCTCGTGATGTACTGGGTCAACTTTAGCGATTTTACCATCATTAGAACCGCAAAGACCTCCTCTACAACTTTAATTAGAAGGACAAAGAAAGTTTACTTAATAAAAAGATAGTTTTCATAGTACCCCTAGTGAAAAACTTTTGGGATTCTAAAATTTATAAGTAATGCCCGCCGATTTTTACTATGAAATTTATACCCTTTAGCTGCGAACTATCACTTGAAAAAAAATTGGGGAAGTTGACTACAAAAAAAGATGATAATGCGGCTAAAAGATGACCTCAGCACTTTAAAACGAATTATAAAATCGTTTATATAATGCTTTGTGGTTAAGATTTTTAGAATTATGACACTACTGCGCTTATGAGATCGGTTGTTTTATAAATCAATTTGTATTGTATATTTGGTTCGTATTGCTTTCTATACTGTGATGTTAATGTTTTCCTTTTCTTTTTAAACGTATAATAAATTTTAATCAATATAGATTTATAATTGTGTAACAAACTTCATATTTAGTTTATTTAAATGTTATTAATGTCCAATTACTCTCATTATAGTGAAGTCATCTAGGTTGGAAAACAAATTGTCATTATAGTTTATATAGGTGACTCCAAGGGAAAACTAGATATTGTGCTTTCGAGTTTATTTATTATTTATTGGACTCATCCCAAATACGATGTGTAATTGAATTACTTACATTAATATAAACATCTGGCCATGTAAAAAATTTTGATTTTTTTAAAAAATTTATATATTTATAAAAAAAGTTTGAAAAAATTGTCAATTTGGTTCTTTTCTTAGCACCTAGTTTATACATTTTGTTATTTTTTTTAAAGATTATATATTTGCGAGCCGGGACAGACCGATCTCTATACCCGTGTATATATTTTTTTCAGGGATAAATACCTACGGGTCTTAGTGGTAAGTACTTCATTATGTCGAGCTGAAATTTAATACCGTAATTCAAAATTCTTCACTATATTGAGAGTGAGTTGTACTTGGTTGATTTAATTTAAAGAATGCATGTTTCAAAAATCTTACGATTGGTATTTTTGTGACTTTGATTATCTGTTATTATATCATATATATATTATGTTGAAGAATATTACGAGGATTTCTTTATTATTTTTAAATTAAATAAATTATATAAATTATGTAGATGCTTTTTTTTAAACCGAACGTCAACACTACTCACAACAATAATCTACAATAATCTTGGATGTAATTAAATGTTCATTTTTGAAAAAGCGTGTAGAAAATACAAACACAATAATTCGAACTTCATGAACATTTAAAAGTTTCGTTCCCTAGTATATATGTATTGTTTTTAAGCTTAAAATCTCAAGTTAGCCCACCTCGAGGTTCTCAGTTCACAACTGGCTAGCTCTAGCTAAGAGTCGTCCAATTTGACTAATTTGACCGTTTTATTGCATAAATTTTATTTTCTAAAACAGTAAACCCATAGTTATAATCCTGAAAGGTAACTGATGGAAGAAGCTTCTTTAGTAGAATATATCAATTTATGTACATATTCTTGAACTTAAAAATTTACCTGTTACTCTATTTGCTACAGCAGCCGTTGTATTGTTTTTCTCTTCGGCTTCAGTACCAACTACATTCTTAGAATTTATGTTTTCCTGCTGCTTTGCCAATAACAGATTTACATTTTGTAATAATTTATGAACGGTCGTTGCTTGAGACTGTGTTACGTTTTGAGTGGCCTATTGAGTAAAAGAGTAAAAGATAGTAAAATTATTCTTTTTTTCGCAAGTATATTCTTAAAAAGACTGAAACAAAAGTATTACATCTATAAGAACACCATCCTCGAGGCTTGCCGTGAAAGAAGAAACATGGTTATAAAGTTTTGAGAGAGACGTGAAATTTTCGTCTTGTTGTGTCTATTTTAGTAATGTGTTTAGAACATTTAATTAAAAAAGATAATATTGATAAACCTCTTTAGTTACCATTTTATTTAATATGGGGAGCGAAACAAAACCTTATCAGATTATACATATCGATACGTAATTTTATCTGATCATCGAAAATCTCTGTCTTACTACGTAGCTGATCTTTTATTGATGGGTACTAATACTTTTGAGATTCTTGAGATTTGCGGAGACGGTACATTTGGCATTGTATATAAAGCCAAACAAAAGTCAACAGAAACATTTGTTGCTATTAAAAGAGCTAAGGAAGTTAAATATGAAAGACCTGTGCAAGAACGGATTCCAAACGAGATAGAAATTTTACGCAAAGTTCAACATGAAAATGTATGTTTATTTTATTTTGGTTATCAAATTCTATTAACACTTATTTAAAATTTTTAAATTCTAATTATGCTAATAGATCATATCAATATTTTCATTGGAAGCATCAATAGAAATAATATCATCACTATCATTTTCTAAATTACTAAATATCAAACCGAATGTTAATGCAATTATATTTCCATATTGTCCCTTAACATTAAAGTCTTTATTGAAAGATTATACTCTTTCACCACACGAAGTCAAGTCTTGTATTTGGATGATACTCACTGGTGTTGTTCATATTCATAATATTGGTGTGATACATAGAGATTTATCACCAAGTAATATATTAATTAGTGACTCTGGTGTTATCAAGATTTCTGATTTTGGGATAGCATGGGTGGATTCTAATAATGGTTATGAACCTAGAGGTAAAATGAAATTCGAAGTTGGAACAAGGTTAGTCTAAAAAGATTAATTCAATTTTTTATTTATTTATTTATTTTTTTGTTTTATAACTTTAAATGTGTTTTTATTTGGTTTATAGATATTATCGCGCTCCAGAACTTCTTTACTCAGCTGAAAATTATTCTAATGCAATTGATTTATGGTCACTTGGATGTATCTTTGCTGAATTTTTTACAAAACCTGCCAGCTCACCATTGTTTCATGGCGAAAACGATATTGAGCAATTAAGTGAAATCTTTCGCATATTAGGAGTTCCTGATGAATCAACCTGGCCTGTAAGTAATCTTTATTTATTATTGTTCATTATTTATTTTGTTGTGTTTTAACATTTGTTTTTATGAAGGAGATGATAGATTTTCCGGATTATGGCAAGTTTACTTTTATTCAAAAAGATTGTGATGGACTAACAATTAAACATTTACCTAAAGCAAAGTCACAAGATGTACAATTTATTTCAAAATTTCTAAAATATCCATCCACGGAGAGAATTACAGCCAGCAAAGTTTGTGTTTTTTTGTTTTTTTGTTTTTTTTTGTGATGACATTGTTTAACAATTATACATACAGGCGCTTTTAGATCCACTATTCGATACTGACGATTTTTCAAAGTTTTGTATTAACATTCAAGACCTTAAAAAACGAATATGAAAGCTTAATTAAAAATTATATTGGCAACTTGATACTATGAACAAGTTCTTTCAATTTACATTATGCATATAACCATTGCTATATAAACATTCCCAGCAAGAATTTTTTTAGTCGAAAATGTAGTTTTTATCTTGTCTGTGTACTGATTCCCATCTTATGACCAAAATCAACTTACAATTATCGTTAATGTAATCATTTAAATTCAATAAAACGGTGCCACATTATTGGTAATGTATTTAATAACAATAATGTTTAATAAAATTTTATCTATTATCTACATTTCTCTTTGGAGTCATGATTATATAACTAGAAAAATATTTTGAACCATGAAGTGAATAAAACAGATTTTTACAGTAGTAATTTTCCCTAAGTCTGATTCTCTAAGACTTGGTAAATGCCACATTCAATAATTAACAATAATTCGCTATTTTTGTATTTTTGCAATTTTTTTTTTTTCTTTTTTTTTTTGCTCATTATTGTTTTCTAATTTTTATTTTTTTATTTTTTATTTTTTATTTTTCATTATTTTTATTATTATTTATTATTGTTTTTTTTTTTTTCACGGCTTCAATTTGCTCTGAAATTCAATGCCCGTTCAAGTTCGTCGCTCAATTACGGCTGCACAATATTGTTATAGGAACCTAAGTCCACAATAAATACGAGGACATCCGGATGTTGCATTGCCAAAAGTTGAAAGCCGGATCATTAGTGCATTGCAAAACAACAGATGGGCCATCACTATTCAGAGAAATGGAACTTCCATATGTATTAGGTTTTGTTTTATCGGATCTTCTTTTAACAATTGTCGTCGACAAGTTGGACACGAACTATGCTGCTCAAGCCAAGAACGAAGACAATATCTTGTTTAAATAAACGCGCAATCAGGTTTTAATAATAAATAAAAATAAATAAGAATAAATAATAATAATAAATGCTTAAACATACAAATGAAACATATGTCCGCATGGTAATTTTTTAGCAGAGGCCATGGAATCCCGACATATTGCGCAATCATCGTTATAATCATTTAGTTCCGATTCAGTCGCATTTGGGTACCTGCATATATTAAATATATGAATTACAAAGCACTTTTACCAATTCTTATTCACAAATTAATTCCTTACTGGGTTTGCATATTGCTAATTGCTTGTCGGTAATTGCAATAGGCCGTAATCTTTTTTCTGAGATTGTTGAAAACACTTCGCATATTCAAAAATAACACGGCGTCAATTAGAGTAAATGACACGCCGTGTAAAAGCTGTGTGAAAAAAAAAAAAAAATCAATTCTAATGTTCTTAACTTTAACATTCTTAATACAGATATAGAATGTATATAGTCTCACCATTATATGCAAGTAATGTCCAAGTGTGGCAACAAGTATTAAAGTATCCGTGACAAATTCTGTATAATATAAAAGAAGTCCACGAGATTCCCAAACACCAGTCCTGGAAAGATCTCTTAGATGAATTACGTATTTCACGAGTGTTTGAACAGTATCCAAGAAAAGTGTAAAGCACTGATTTAATAACACAAAACATAATATATATTAATTATTAAAAAATTTAAATAGTACAATTTAAAATATTTTTATCCCTACCTCAAATGTCAGAAGTAATAACATCGATCTAAAAATTGATATGCACATTATGAACCAAAATATATCTGAGATTAAGATAAGAATCAAAAGTGACAAAATGCGCAAATGATCTTGAACAGGTGTATTTGGGGTTAATGCAAGCTACAAAACCAAAGATAATATTAATGAATGATAATTAATTTAAAGAATATAAATATATTATAAATACATACATGCTCAAATCTATCCCGACAAAGCATGCTAAATATCCTCAAGAATCCTAGAATAGTAAACCATGTTGTCCAAATAAGTAGTTCTTCCCATTTTGGTTCCAAGATTGCACCCACAAAAACCACTTTGAACAAAAGAAAATTGAGTAGCCTATCATACATATGCTAAAGATACAAAGTATGAATGATAAAATCAATTAAATTCATTATCAAATTGAGATTATGAAGAGGCAATAAATTTCTAGTATACCTGACTTTCGATAACTCTCAGTTGACCAAAAAAAAATCTTAAAGTCAATCTTCCAAGGAGAAATAAAAAACAATAGGCCATGTTGATAAAAATCTGAAATGAGTTTATATTTTATGTTAGATCTAGGCATACATAGAGTGAATAAATAAAGAGGAATTTATATTTGTAGCGTCTGTTTAAATGCTACAAAATATGGTCACGTACGTTCGTTACATACCATCACACATGTCTTCTCTTTCTGTAGAAAATTGAATAGTGATGTGAGGAAAGGACCCATAGATCCCACAGGTTTTCTCGGCGTTAAATACCTCTCAGCTAACATATTTTGAAATACTGAGGTGGCAACGTGTGGACTTTTTTCTGGAACATCCCATGACTCATCAATATTGTTAGAAGACCGATGTTCTGATACTTCGATGCAAGCTTCGTTTTGCGAGTTGTCAACTGGCGTTAGGGAAGAAGTGAATAGAAACCATTTTTGGAAAGAGGTTGTGAAAGGTAAAGTAAAAATATCACAAGAGTACAAAAAAGCCACTAAGGCGACACATACGGAGATTGTAGTGTACAGTTTCAAATCGAGTACGGGCATTATAGCATTGGTAAAAATTCAGAATTCAATAGACAGGAAGGAATTTTAAAATTCGCAAATCTAAAACGATAGATCATTTTGATTGGCCGACTACCAAATTTTACACAATGAAATAGCAAAAATCACGTGAAAATAATCACACCACACCACACATATTCACACCACACATATTCACACCACACATATTCACACCACACATATTCACACCACATATGTACATACACTGTACATACCGGTACTAGTGCAGATGCTATAATGAATTATTTGTGATCTGCACGCTATATTAAAATTTACTACACCTTTAATTCCTCCCGTAATATTTAATGAAAGGAGTCTTTATATCGTAATAACGACAGAATTATATCTTACTAATTACTGTAAAATATATCATGGCTTATCGGGGTGTCTACTTATACATGCTGCTCAAACTACAAATCAATCCCATGTGGAAAAATCCCAAATCCCAAACCGGACAAATCCTATTTGGGGCTGTCATAACCCCAAACTCTTGCCAAATCCTCAATTCCATCCCCAATTCCATTCAAAATCCCATTCCAAATTAAACCTCATCCCAAATCCCAAGTTTTCGAATTCCAAATTTTAATTGTAATACAACCCACTAACTAAATTAAGTATAATACTATAAAATAAATACATTTATTGCAGTATATTAAATAAAAATAGTGCTAGGGCAAAGATAAAACCTAGTATCAGAGTCCTCGGATTTTTGTAGCATCTAAAATAGCGTTATTTTTTATCAAAATAGCTAGCAACAATTGTGCTAAGATGCAAAATTTGCTACATTTGCACCAAACATATGATTATTCCCTTTGTTCTTGAACTGATTTACATAAACGAGTAATTATATGCATGTTTTAGATAATGACCGGAGAATACATTGAAATGATAGATAAAGAACTCGCAGAAGAAAAAATATGATTACAAATAATTTCATTAGCTATTTTTTCTAACTATTTTTGCTATCAGCTTCCGGGGTCCCTGCCTAGTATACAGTATATTTAACATATATACCGATATTTCATGCAATATTACAGTTATATCGTGCAAGCTATCTAAAATTTCATTTTAAAACATTATTTAGTTTGCACAAATTGTATAAAACAGTTTGTCCAGACTTATGCGATTTCAGGAATTCTAAATGAAAAATCTCTGAAATCGCATGTCTGAACTCCAGTCAGGGCTAAAACGACACAGCAAATGCCGGCCATTTACTGCGCCATTGCTTATTGTTTAAAGTACCTTTCTTGATACATAAAACTTGTTAGTAGAAATATTAATATTTGATCGTCTTTAACAATAGACTGACATATCGATATGCATACGTACTGCATTAAAAGATTATAATATAATGTGAATCAAGAAGTACTTGTTATTGGTCATGTTGTGGATGATAATTGATTATTCACTAGGATACTGTTTTTATGACGTGCCGAAGGTCACGTCATAATGCGGTATCTGCTATGAAGAAATCAGCAATTATCAGCCACAATTTGACCAATAATACGCTTATCCGACATGTCTTATTGGGGTATGCGATATCATAGGATTTACAAATCTATTGAAGATCATGTATTAAAAGTCGGTATGAAATTTTTGACA